TGGTATGTGTTTAGTTTGTATGCTTATGCTAATGCTTTGATTACTTTTGAATTTATCCTTATCCCTTTTGAACTATAGTTTCAGTTTTATGTTCTCCATATCTACTTATCTTGATGTTAACGTCTAGTTCTTGTAGTAAAATAGCATATAATATCAGAGACTTATATATATCTTTGAACTTTAAAAAGATAAAGATGCTCATGGTTTTGACCTAAGAAGATATGGGATTGTAGTATATTTGAATAGGTCTTCTATCTGCAACCCATAAAATTTCAGAAAATTTGCTTTATTTTTTGTTATAAGTAAAATCTTTTTTTTAACATAGAAATATTTTAATTTTATAGGTTATAACGTCTCGAGAGGCAGATCCTCCTGTTGTCAAGTTGATGGATTACAAGTAAATTGCATCTCATATTTTCATTTGTAATTTTACTTATCTCTCTCTTTTAAAATTCCAAATCCTGTTTGATATTTATCATCATTTTCAACAAATTTCACAGCAGATATAAATATGAGCAACAAAAGAAGAAACGAGATCCTCGTATGGATCAAAAGGAGCTTAAAATGGGGTATTTACTATTTAGTCTACACATCTTTATGCAAATAAATTATTGAAAACAATATGAACTTTTATCTTCATTTTTATTGGTAGTTACAACATCGATGTGCATGATTACACTGTGCGTTTGAAGGCTGCTCAGAAGTTTCTAAAAGATGGCGACAAGGTTTTTTTTTTTTTTAAATAATTCCTGCGATCTGTGTGTGTGTTTGTTAATTGAAATGTGATGATTTTTTATCATGTACTTTTTGGTAATTTGACAGGTGAAACTAATAGTAAACTTGAGGGGACGTGAAAACGAGTTCAAAAAAAATGCTATTGAGCTTATACGACGTTTCCGTGATGACGTAGGGGAGGTACGTGATATGACAAGGGCATTTACGTCTTTTTGCACAACAACATTGTATTCTGAAAATTTTAACAATTATAGCAATATGATTTAAATAATGTTTTGTAATTTGCAGCTAGCGCTTGAGGAGAGCAAGAACTTTAGGGACAGGAACATGACATTGGTGTTGATTCCAAACAAAGCTTTTCTACAACAGAAAGAAACACCAAAGATGAAAGAAAAGTCAATTAGGACTGAAGTATCTGCTTCTGTATCACCATGATTCTAGATTTTGATTTTGATTTTGATTTTATTCCTCAAATTTTAACAGATTCTTGAATTGTGTATAGTTTGTTTTAGTGGACTAAACATGTATTATGCGGATAATTATATAATCATTTTGGTTCTTGGTAGCAATAGCAGTAACCTTGGTATAATTATTTTCTTGTGTGTTTCAGCTTGTTAATCAGCACAGCCTATATCAAGAATTTATTTTTTATTGTATTCGCACATAGGATTTTATATAGGTTTTCTAAAGATATTGTTGATAAAACTTTGGGTATGAAGATCTTGTAACATTCACTTAGTTCCGTATAACTGACTTGTTAGTCTGCTTAACCTGTCTTTTTATATATAGTAAAGCTTGTATATATATGAAATTCACATCTTTAATTCCCAAAAGGGATCATTTCACAAAATGACATCCAATGTACCAACTTCTTCGAATGCAGCAAATTCGTCAAATGCGTCAGTTGCAACAAATGGTACATCTCCATGGACGACAACAAAGGTGTTGGTCCTAACACGATCACAAAGTCTTATGTGTTGTACTATCAAATCTATTACACCTTCTTACTGCATATTCCTCACCTTGTAACGGGATACGATTTCTGTTTTTCGGTCTACCAGCTTGACGTGTATCCATTATTGGGGATTTAACAACCATCATCTCAGCATGAATCTCCCAATCACACGGTTCTAGAAGGGGGTAAATCGCATCCTCATATGTACTTCGATACATTTTCATTTTGTAAGCATTTATAGCCAAATGTCAAAAGTTAGTTTTTTTCAAGTGTTTTAAGACCATTATAACATGACCACAAGGCAACCCGGTTCCTTTCCAATATTTGCATGTACAAGTCTCTTGCCTCAAATCAACTATGCCACCATGTTTGAAGTCATTCACTTGATATATGGCATCTGAAACACCAGAAACAGACCATCCTATCATACGCTCTTCGTTTTTCCTAACTACTTTTTCAGCACACTCCATTAGCACTGTTGAACGTTTCCCTGTAAAGAATATATATATATATATATATATATATATATATATATATATATATATATATATATAATTAATTTACTACTCAACATAATTAAAGGCCAAGTTAAAGTCATACCTCCATCGATGCAACGCTTGTTACACCATTCATGTGAAAGATGATGAAAGAACTCAAGAAGGGGCATTATAGGCATCTTCCTTGCATCTACAAATAAAGCATTCATGGACTTTGTATTGTTCGAAGTCATGTAATCGTACCGTTTCGACGGGGAATATGCTCTAGTTCATTTAGCACGTGGAGTTTCACTTCGATACGCCGCTACTTGCGGCCTAGTAGAAATAAATCTATACCACAAATCTTCAAATACATTTCTTTTGTAAGCTCTCACAAGCCTCCAAAACAATACTTTTGTTTTATCATTTTTCCCAAACCTGTGTACTATGTTTCCTAGTAGATGAAAAGCACACACGTCATGATGAGTGTGTGGGAAAACATTTTCAATACTAACCCGAATTGCACCGGCCCTATCAGTTACAAACGTCAAATCTTAACAATCACCAATGCATTCATACAACTTTTCAAGAAACCATGTCTAAGTAAGACCACTCTCTTTTTTGCATATTTTGTGCGTAAGGGGCACTATCTAGTTCTTCCCATCCATAGCTACTGCATGCAATATGATTCCCTTAAAATCACCCATCAAATGGGCACCATCCATAATTATGACTTTACGACAAAAACGTTTGAACGCTCGTATCTACAGTATATTTAAAGGGAACATGTAAACACTCTACATTTTTTACAAATAATTATATATTAAATAACAAGTTTTTCGTATCTACCGTGTTCCTAATAATATAAAAACAACACTCGAAACAATCTTTAGAATTTGTTTGTATATAGGCAACTGTACCAGGATAATGCCTCTTCAAATTGTGAAAATAAATAGGAAGTTTGGAAAAACATTCTTCAGAGAATCCCAACAACAGTTCCATATCATATTGTTTTGCACCCTAAGCTTGTTTGTAACTTACATTGATTTCTAGCAAGACATTCAAATCCCTTGATATTTCATTAGACCTCCAAACCTTGGAACGAGTTTCCCATAACCTCATGCAATATAGTACCTATGACTTTTTTATTTGCGTGCTTATGATTTAGGTGTATCTGTAATGACGAACATGTGTGCACATTGTTGAAAGTCTTGATTTCAAATTCATTAGTGGGATCAATGCGTTTTGCATATAAACGCCAAGTACAGTTCTCAATTTCACAATATACCTCATAACGGCTTTTGTTAGAATGCTTGGTCTTAAACCAAAACTTTTCTCTGGTTTCTTTAAGACTCAAAGCAAATATTAGTTGTTTGTTATCATACGTTTGACGAACAAACATATCATCATTTGGACCTAAACTGTGAACTGGTCCAGGTTCAACAATAGGATCAGGACAATCAGGTATGTGAGGCATACCATAAAAGATGTTTGAAGTTTTTTTCCCGTGTGTGAACTCATCTTCTGACCAACCTTCATTTGACTCCTCATCATTTGACAAAGTTTTGTCACGCAGTCTTCCAAACTCAAATAATTTTTCTTCTTCCATTGTATTCACTGCCACAGTTTCTTCTTGTGGACACTCTTCAACATTATCAGATACAATGTTTTCAACATTGTATGGTACAATCTTGTCAACTGCTTCTGTCTGTTCGACCCATCCCTCAAACACCTCCAAATACAAGCGCACAATCTCCTTCGTTTCAGAAACTACATTTCTGAGTTTATGAACATCTGTTTCATCTACAATATTCATAACATACCCATGAACTGGGTGTTGACACGACAATGATATATGACTATTGAACGCATTAGCCTTACTTTTGACCAAATCAAACAATATTCGACGGTCAAAATTTGGCGGAAGCAGTAAACCTAAGTTGTTAAACTTTAGTCTAACGTAGGTGTTAATCCCATTACTCATCTGCCAGAACTCATATTTTCTTTCAAAGCACCTACACGCAACGTATCCTAGTCATGCTATCTTTGGAAATGTTAACCCAAGCACAACACAATGCCTCTTCCTCCTTTGTATGTCAATTTTGTTTGTCACTATTTTTAGAACTCATATCTTGTGATGGTTTGTGTTGCAATTCGGGTTGTAAATAGTGCATATTGGGTGGTGTTTGGAAAAGTTGCATTTAGTGATGAAATTGTTAGGGTGAATTAAGTAAGTCAGTAAAGCTAAGTTGAGGTGAAGGGACGAGATTCATATCGTAGTGATACAAAAGTGGTGATGCATTGTTTAGTTCGAAAGGGTTATCATATTTTGAGGTGAAGGGGCAAGATTCATATCCTCTTGCATAAGCCCTCATTCTTATTATAAAGTAAACCCTACAAAAGTTTGCTTTGTCCTTTCCAATTCAATCAAACTCCATTGCATCCGTGTAACAAATACAATCTAATTAAAATTCTATATTTTTAAGCTAACAATTTTAGTGTGTTTTGCGGAGAGAATATGAAAAATTCGATAGCTGCAACGTGAGAATTTCATTTCCAATGTGGATTGCATTCGATATTTATACGAAATGCAACCTTTCCATAAGCGTTGCATTAAACGTGTTGCAATTTGTATGGGACTACTATCTTTTAGGCTTTATTAGTCTTTTTTTTTTTTTTAACTTAGGATTCTCACTTGTAAGGCTGTCTATATAAAGACCATTAGGTGTCTTTATTTTTCTTGCCCTCATATTTTCTGTGTTCTACTTTGTGGAGTTGATGGAAGAATAATTCTTTTGCAATAACCATAAAAATCTAGAACATACACCAAATTCATCGTTCTATAGAACATATATTATGATATCGTAACTCTTCACGTAATATTTACACGTTATTTCTTAGTTTGATTGTAACATTGGTTGTTGTATTCCATCTTTCCGCTTCTAAAAAAAACTATATACTCATTGTGTTAGTTTTGCCACAAGGCATGTATCACTATAAGAGATATCTTCACATGATAAAACTATAAATGTCATGTTCACCAATTTTCCATGACTTTACCAATTTCTTCAAGACTTTTTCTTCCTTAGTAAATGGTAAAAGTAAAAGTAAGTTATCATGATGGAAAATATAGACTTATGGAGTTGTCCAATTTTGTTTCAATTGTACTAGGTGTGTCCTAAGGCTGTATTCCTTTTCCTGTATAAAAGAATCAAACATTAAAGATCTTTTTATAGAACTATGACATGATCAAATACTGAAACTTGTGATAATAAAAGTAAGTTTACCTGTAAAGAAGCTACAAAAGTCAATAGAACTTCACATTCATCAAGAAGAGCTCTTTCATGTGATACCACAGTAGCAAGTTCAGAAACCAGACAATTTGGTCCCTCCATCTGTATATATATAGATTTTGAAATCAGTAACTATAAACATTATATACAAAAAAACTTAGGATATATGATATATCAGAGAACACAAATCTCACCCTTGATAGAGTAGACTGTATGGAAGATCCAATTGTTTCCATTACTTGGATAGCTGAACAAAGAGAAGACTCCAAAGTTTCAATATCCACCTGTACAAATATAAAATTAAACTTCTATTCACTGAAATTACATTTTTGTCCTTTTTAGTTTTTCAAGAGCTGACATACCATTGCACCTCTAGTTACAGGGACTCGAAGAGTGCTTGACTCTAGATCTTCATTAGCACCAGACAAAGCAAATTTGTGCTCCTTTTCAATTGAAGCCCATTCATTGAGATAAGTCATCTGATCCATAGATATCACAATATAAATATGGAAATAATATTGGGTTTATTAAAAAGTGTTATGGGAGAATGAATTACTTGTTGATTTAAAACTGAATAAAGCTTTAGCTTCAGTCTCAACTGATTGAGCTCAATCCTCTTTGCAGCTACTGAATCATGGAGTTCTGAGGTACTTCTCCACACATTAAATAAAGATTTCTGCATCATGAAATATAATAAATTTAGCTATAATACATGGCTATTTCTTTCATTTAATCCTTTTAGAAATAAAGAAACCAAACCTTAGCAGTTGATTTCTGGGAGTTGAAGCCAGCTTCTGAAGTGGCATTAATAAATCTCCACTGAATTTGTCTATTGTGAAGTAGTCTCAGATAATGAGCATCTTCTATCTGATCAACAACTCGTTTTCCCTTTTTAATATCAGCAATAAATGTGAGAACAGAAGCTTTATTCGAGTTGCAGGGTTGTCTCAAAGGACTACAAGACCTTCTAGAAGGACTCACATTTTTCAAAGCCAAAACAGATGGCTTGTTTGGTGTAACAACAGGTAAAGATTGAGACCTTGAAGAAACAAGATTCGACATTCTTAGTAGATTGTCATATTCCAACTTTCCTTTATCGGAAAATGACGATAATAACCTCGCAGGATCGCTTGTAGATTTTCCTAAAGGCTTGGATTTAGAACTTGTTCTGCTAGGCCACCGATGTTGTTCCACTAGTTTGGAATGTAAGCTCTCTAAAGGTTTGGAATTTTCCGATTGGTCGATGACATTTTTACCCTTGAGTGGACTTCTTTTCCTCTCAGGGGTAGACTTTCTAGAAGGTTTCTGTGATACATTTGATGATGACTTTAGGGTTCTATCAGAAAGAGCTTGAGGAGGTGGCTTCTCTTTCTTACTAGTGGGCATGGAAAACGAATCAGATTGGAAAGAAACACTTAGACTACGCATTGGTGAAGGAATTGCCTTTCTGGTTATCACTTCCATATTGATAGATGTATCATGGATTGGGGTGGAGGGGTATGATGGTAATTTTGGTGTTCCGGGTCGTCTTCTTTCTGCAGATATAGCTCTATTTGGTGGGGATACTTGTGGTGTTGTAGCTTTTCTTGTTGTGTTTGGAGAAGGACAACGCCTTGGTGTAGGTGATTTGTATCTAGAGCTAACTTCTCTAGTCTTTAAATTTGGCCACATTGGATTAAGCTCTTCTATCATATGATCAAAAACATTTCCCAGATCTTTAAAAACAACAAATTTCTTTACAGAGTGATATGCTATATCACCATAATTGAACTGTTACAAATAGATAAAGAGATGTTATGACCAAAAAGGTATAAAGTTGATCAAAAGCGTAGGTCTTTACTCTTTATACTTTACAGGTACACTAGATCTCAGAATAAGAATTGTCTTGAAACTTGAAGCTTGAAGCAAAGATATGTAATTGGGTGTATGTCTTTAGAATACAATATCTCCCTGAACCCTAATCTATCAAGAAGATTTTCAGAAGTTTAAAGAGGACTAAATTGCACTTTACAGACCACACTTACAAAAAGAAGAATCAATTCCTATGATCGGTTTAGTTTCTTTCTCAAAATTCAGAATATTGAGAGGAAAATGGAAGGGAGAGACAATCAGAATCTCATTATATATATAACATATTGGAGTTGAAAAAGTGAAGTCTACGTGTAGGTTTTTACAGTCAAAGTTTAACCATATAGAAACAGACAAATAGTTGCATTAAATTTAAGATGGTAATAATGTATAGAATCATAAGGGTTGAGGAAACAGACATGGAGGACCATGTGATGAAGAAGATCATTGTCTATCTCCATTGATTCATTGAATCAGCTCACCAAGACAAACATATATTTATAATACATACAAACAAGAAGGATCGAATAATGTCATAAATCCATGTAAGGCATGTCTGAACCTCAGATCGGAAAATATTTTTAATACCATGAAAACTCCTGAAATCTCATTTTCCATTTTGGATTTACTTATTAATTGATGAAAAGAAATATAGTATTTGATGAGTAGATTGATAAAAAAGCTATTTTACTCATCGAATTTGCAAATTTCAAGACTGAGGAACGAATATCGATGTAAATACCTGATATGATAAAAAAAAAAATTAACACCTCATAATTTTGTAGTACAAGAGTAACATTTTATATGAAGTTACGAGCACTACATGATATAATGTCTGGATTTTGCAGATCATGTCCCTGATTTGTGGAACAGTGCCGAATTCTCAGAATCGGTGGAAAACACATTGTTCTGCAAAATTATTATTTTAATACCATCACGGAAATAAGATCTTCACTTTAAAGTGGATCTATTGTCTTCTTCTTTTTTTACAGATATTAATGCTAGCATAAACCCTAGATTAGAAAACTATTAAATCAAACTAATTAAAAACGGCGAATCTCAATTGATCATTAATGACAATAAGTTTGATCACAAAAGTTAAAACACATCAGTAGTTTTTTTAATACTGAGATTGAAATATAAGAATCTAACAATCCTAACAGTGTATAAATTATAATAGTAATTTGAAATTTACACATTCATGCAAACTTACGCAGAAAGAGATCAGAAAAAGTGATCTGAGCAGCGATCAGTCATCAGTTATGGTGATGAAATCATGAAAGGTGATTTGATCGATCGGATAGTTGAGGAGAGGTATAAGAAGAGTTAAATCCTGAAGTTTTGATTGGTTAAAACTGAGGATTTGAACAGGGAGACGTTGTTGAAGGAGGTGGAAAAGTATGTTTTGGCGCCACGAGACATCAACTTTAATCCAAGGAATAATCTTTTTTATGCTTAACATAAATTAGGGGTTCATTGCGGATGAAGTGGAAAGCAAACCCGAAATTGAGAATCGGTTTGATTCGGAGCCGGATTAATTATAAACCGTATACAAACTTGGATTTTTATGGTTTATATTTAGGTTATTTAACATTTTGATCCCTATTTCAGAAGACATAATATTCTTTACAAATCTAAACCAAGAGAACCAAATTTGATGCTTTTGACTTTTCTCATCCGTTAAAAAAAATATATTAGGATAAATATAGTAAAAATCTTTGTATATTTTATGCAAATATCAACAATGGATATCCGATTTGGATTTGATCTAATCTAGAAACCAAATTTTTGACCAAATTGGATCGGATTATACGATCCACTAGATTATAACCGGATCCATATTCTAGAGATAATCATATTTGATATAAGATTTGCCAAAGTCCGGAACCAAGTCCACCATAAAATTCGGTCAAGCCCACCTCAATCTGGATTGAATTTTGGGTGGATTCGGATAGGATTTGTGATTATGACATTCAAATCGGATCGGATTTGTATTTGTGCACCTCTTATGGTCAAATATGTAACATTTTTTTATGTTTATTTGCAAAATCAAGTATATAGATTTTGACCAAACCGGAGTTTATAAAATACAATAAATTATATCAATGTCATCTAGATATTAAACATATTTCTTTTGTTTTAATATGATAGATTTTCAAAAGTTATTTGAAATAATTTTTAGATTATAAATTTTTGTTTAAAATAAAAGTTTTAGACTTCTACTCCCAAATGAAATGTTTTCTTTAATTTGATATTTTCATAAAATGTAAATAGGCAAAAGCTCGTTGCCAAATATACATGCATACACTTTCAACATACAAGTTGAACTCGTTTGTCGATAATCAAAACTTGAGGTGTATAAATGTAAATTTTACATGTTGAATATCATTTAGAGTTTAGATACTTCAAAACAAAAAAATTCTATTTTTCTTTTTGGGAATATGACTTATCAATGGAATTAACTTTTCGGTATGTTCACATCTGGGTAACTATCTTTTTTTTGTACATATATAGGTAACAAACTTTTTGGAAGTGTTCACATATGACCATTATGACCTGCTATAGCAGGTTAAATCCTAGATGTGAACGTTTTCAACAAGTTTGTTACCTAGATGTATGAACAAAATGAAAATTAAAAATTAAATTACATGAATGGTCCCTGTAGTTTGGGGGAATTTGTGGTTTTGATCCCTAATTTATTTTTTTAACTTAAATGGTCCCTACTATTTATTTTTGTTGCACGTTTGGTCTCCGTCTTACCTAAAAATACTATTGTGCCCTTATTAATTTATTTTTTTAATTAATTTTCTTATCTATGTATTTATTTTATACATATTTAAAAAAATTAATAGACCACACATATTTGTATCTCCTCGGATGATCTCTACTGTTTATTTTTAATTATATATATATTTTTTTTAACTCGGATGATCCTTACTGTTTATTTTTGTTACGCGTTTTGTCTCTGTCTTATCTAAAAATACTATTTTTCCCTTATTAAAATTTTAAATTAATTTTCTTATTTATGTATTTATTTTTTATAAAAAAATTAATATACCCCACATATATGTATCTTATCACCGTAAACATGAAACCACATTTGAGAAATTTAATTTGAGTCTTACCATTCACCATTTCATCTCTGATCTCCCCATCTTCTATTTCTTTTCCATCTTTAGTAACATCAACGTCTTCACCGTCCTTCTTTTTTTTGGTACTTCAACTCTGGCGAACCAACACCATAACCTACTGTCTCTTCATATTTAGTGGGTTGTGGTGTTGTTTCGACCGAGTTGAAGGACCGAAAAAATAAGTGATGATGAAGACGTCGATATCACTAAAGATGAAAAATAAATAGAAGTTGAGAATGATGAAAGATGGAATGGTGAGGAGATACAGATATGTGAGGTCTACTAATTTTTCTAAAACATATAAAGCATAAGTACATAAACAAGAAAATTAATTAAAAAAAATTAATAAGGACACAATAATCTTTTTAGGTAAGACAGAGATCAAGTTCGTAACAAAATTAAATAGTAGGGACGATCCGAATTAAAAAATTAAATTAATTAAAAAATAAATAGTAGGGATCATCCGAGGAGATACAAATATGTGTGGTATTTTATTTTTTATAAATATGTAAAAAAAATAAACATAGATAAGAAAATTAATTAAAAAAATAAATTAATAAGGGCACAATAGTATTTTTAGGTAAGATGGAGACCAAACGTGCAACAAAAATAAACAGTAGGAACCATTTAAGTTTAAAAAAATAATTTAGAGACCAAAACCACAAATTCCCCCAAACTACAGGGACTATTCATGTAATTTAATTTTTTACTTTTCATTTTGTTCATATTTGGGTAACTATTTTTTTTGTACACATCTAGGTAACAAACTTGTTGAAAGCGTTCACATTTAGGATTTAACCTGTTATAGCAGGTCATAATGGTCATATGTGAACACTCCTAAAAAGTTTGTTACCTACATATGTACAAAAAAAAAAAATAGTTACCCAGATGTGAACATACCGAAAAGTTAATTACCTTGATAAGTCATATTCCCTTTCTTTTTTTGACAAAAACTGAAAGGGTGTAATATTTTATTTCAAAATTCAAACAAAACTTTACTTACGAAGTAGAGGAAGAAAGCCATACTATAAGTCCATAACCCAATATACAAAAGATAATTAGTATAAAGTTTTAAACCACACAAAAATTCAACTTTAGCACATGATATGTAACACAATGTTACTTATACCAGTTATATAAATCTTAACTGCAATCATTAAATGCCTTTAACTTTTCACAATAACAACCACCATGATGTAAAACTGAAGCATCTAAGTCTCCATGACATGCCACGTGTCATCTACACAAAATTCGCCTCCATTGCTTCCTACAAAATGTTGATTTTCTTACAACTAATTTTTCACGCTCGTCAATAAATAATACCCATGGAACTTGTCCAACTGTTTTTCAAAATATATATATATATATATATATATATATATATATATATATATATATATATATATATATATATATATATATATATATATATATATATATATATATATATATTAAGCCACATAAATAGTAAACAGGTAACTAATAGTCTAAAATCCTAAACACTATTTTACCAATTAAAAATAATGAATAATTTTATAAAACATATTTTGCTCTACAAGTTTCCATCATTTTGTCGTTGTGAATTACCGGTAATAAAATATTTTTAGTATCAAAGTTTCCGATTACTTTATGATTACCAATCATTCAAATTCATAATTTAATATAATAAAAGAAAAGTGCATGAAATGGAACTAAAACACTTGAATGTGAAAAGGACAAAACATCTCCAAACTTGAACATAAAGCATGTTTGGAGGCTAAAATCATGAGAGATCATGTGCAAATACCTACAAATCGATAATTTTAATAATTTTAGTCCACTTAAAAAAATTCAATTGCACCAACTGCATCACTAGTAGTACCATTGACAACCACAAGTCCCATCTTTTCATTCCACTTATAGGCCTTCAACTAACCTAGAAGTTGTACAATAATATTTATTTAATCAATGATATAACGAAATGTATAGTCAAGTCTTTTTTTTATCGGATTATGCAACGAATTTGATTTCTTACCAATTTATAGTCATGTTACATAGAGAACGTGTTTCTAAAGGATCAAAATTTGTGGACTATGCAAATAAAATTCTATTTTGTATGTTACGTTTAATATTTATTGAATCCAGAACTTTGAGTCCTTCCAAAAAGTGATTCAATGTCATCAGCTTTATAAAGATCTAGACTTTTTGCCAAAGCAAAACCCGCATACATCCCATCAACGGCTGCACTCACAATCCCACCTGCATACCCTGCACCTTCTCCCACTGGATATAATCCCCTCAATGACATGCTCTCGAAAGTGTCTGGATTTCTAGGAATCTGGACAGGAGAGCTAGTTCTAGTCTGCAATGAGGGGCCAAATTTGTAAAAAGTAAAGACTTAGAGGGGAAAACATGTTTTTGTTAAATTCATTATTTTTGGAGAAAACTAGTAATATTACCTCTACTCCATGAAGAAGGGCATCACTGGAAATGAATCCTGGTAACTGGATACAACAAGAAACATTATTTACATTCAAACTCATGGATTTTTTGAAGATTGTGCAAAGTCAAAGCTAAAAACCTCTTGGTCAAACGCCATGATTGAATGCTGCAATGCCTCTGTTATATGAACAGGAAACAACTCATGCAGATTTGCTGCCTTCACCCCTAATCGGTAACTTGATGATGGTATATTACTCGCTGACACAACAAAAGACAAACTTTATAGAGGGAGGACATTTACGTCTTTTGCTATCCCTGTCCCACTTTGTTCTACCTTTTTGGGTAAAACAAAAAATTGCAACTATTGTCTCATTGACAATAGTCTGCTCATACTGCAGTCTGCAAATTGCAACTGCAAATTGCAGTTTGCAGACTGCAGTGTAACAAAAATTGCAACTTTTGTCACATCGACAATAGTATGCTTAGACTGCAGTCTGCAGAGTCAGCAGACTGCAGTGTAACAGACTGGGGCTTAAGGACATGAATCAAATCAAAATTTTACCAGACAATTTATTATCCATGAAATCTTTAACGGTTTGCACAGGGACAACGAAATTTCCACCTCCCATAATAGCTGCTCTTTGTTCGAATTCCCTCTTTAAGAAAATACAAACGTGTTTTTAAGGAGAAAAGTTTGTATGATTTTGTAAATGAAAAAGTAATAGCGAGTATGAATGTTGATGATGGAAAGAAGTACCTGAAAGTCAACACCTGCAAGAGGTCCATGAAAACCAAGATCATTAAAATCCTTTGGTGAAACAGTGACAGCAAGTGCAGCATTAGCCCATTTAGATGCTCTTCGAGAAAATGACATGCCATTTATACAAAGTTCTGATGGATCTATGCTCGTTACAACCACCTGTAGATGTTTTGGAAGGAATGGAATCCGTTAAAGGAATGGAATCAGTCAAAGGAATTGGAATCTGAAGGAATTGAAATGTGTCATGCGTTTGGTTAGAAGAGTTTGTAAGGGATTTTGGTCTCTCTGGTATAAAAGGAGAATGGAATTGAATTCAACTCCGTTCGTTTACCAACCAAACACCTCAAGGAATGGAATCTCTCACATTCCAATTCCGGAGGAATCCACAAACCAAACACAGCCTAAGATTCATGTTTTTATTTTACCTGTCCACCAGGACACATGCAGAAAGAATAACAACTCCTTTGTGGTGTATCGTTGTTGTCTTCTCTTTTGACATATTCAACAACCTTGTAATCAGCAACTGGTATTTTCCCACGTCCACTTCGAACCTCATTGGCCAATTTTGAGTACTATATGTTTAAAAGATTAAATAAATTTAAAAAACCATAGATATGCCACTTAAAAACATCATTTTTCCTCCCTTTGTCACATAAAAATTGCAATAAGTTACCCTTTTTGTTTTGTTTTGAATAGGAGTCTAGATACTTGATAGATATTAAAAGAAATTGTTGTCAAAACAATCTTTAAATGGAAATTTTATGATTGTTTATTTTGATGCATTGCAATTTTCATAAGATGGAGGGAGTAAGTAGTAAATTTGCAACAAAATATTTCCAACCTGAATGATGTTTATCAATTCTTGTGGATGCTCAATCCGCAAACCAACCTGTTCATAACACAAGTCCAAAATATATACTCTAAAAAAAAGTTTCTCTCACACAATATAAATGTATTATGCAAGGTTTAATTGGAACATACAGCAAAATCTTTAGGGACCAATTCCGTATTATGAGAAAGAAGCATTTGGTATACATCACGTGCAGAATGCCCAACTGCAAGAACAACTGCATCAAATCCCAGCTTCTCACTACTAAACCCTAATCTTCCACTTGAATCAGATACATTCACTCCAACAACATGACCATTTTCTACAATCAGATCATCCACCCTACTTCCAAACCTTATGTTAACCTTCACAAATAACAAAATTCAATTAATTATATTAACTGACAATGACACTGACAGGGACAGTAGTGACATTGACACAGACAGTGATAGTGACAGAGAAGCGACACTGACACTGACTGACACTGACAGAAGTTAATGAGACAAAATATTGCAATTATTTTGCTCTCTGTGCAAAAGACGAAAATGCCCTCCTAATCAATTAAGACATGTAACTCACCCCCAAATCTTGTAAATGTTGTCGAAAGTTACGGAGAAGTGGTATGAGTCTATCGGTTCCTAAATGGGGCTTTCCATCAACCAGGATGCTTTCTGGAGCTCCAAACCGAACTAAGGTTTTCATAACCTGAGTTTTTGAGGAAAAAATGCTTACGAGTGTTACATTACATATTGCTATTAATATTATCCATAAAGAAATTTATGTATGTTGCTATTATGAATAAATATATGCAAGTGTGTTGTGCCTAAAAATGGAGAAAGTAGACTCACAGACAACACACTTCCACTGTTCCTCCCAATTCTAGTCACCAACTTTCCATCACTCCAAGTACCTGCACCACCCTGTCAACCATAAGTCCATGATAAATAACAACTTTTTTGTCTGGATAAATGATGTTTAAATAATATTTGAGAAAATGATAGCACATTTTAAAAGAAAAGGTAATTGAGGGAAAGGTTTAAAAAAAGGTTAGGACTTAGCCTGTGTTTGGCGTGCCATAGCTAACTCATAAACTAGCTTATTTTTCAAGTTTTTTTAAGTTGTCATGTTTGGCAAGCCAAAAAGTAGCTTATAAGCTAGCTTTTTAAAAAGCTACTTAGACTAGCTTTTTAGGGGCTTTATTTAAAATTTTCCAAATATACCCCTTAATTCATTATAGAAAACATATTCTTTTAAATTTCCTTTTATGTCATTAAATATCTTTCGGCTAGTTTTACCAAACGTTAAATTTTATCAGCTAGCTTTTCATATAACTAGTTTTTCAGCTATCAGCTAGCTTTTCAACTAGTACGTCAAACATAGCCATAACAAAGAAAGCCTCATTTCCCTTACTTTCTCCTTTGAATTCGTTCTTTCTGCATTGAGTTAAAAAGAAACACCCATGTATAACTTACCAGATTAAGTCCATTAAGTCAAAAAGAAACAGTATGAAAATGAATGAGTAATAAAATGTAAAATGTAACCTCGCCAAAACAAAAGTTGCTTTCGGTTTGCAGTATTCGCCTGACAACCAAAGCACCAATATCACGCCCACGTTTCTCAACGGGTTGCCCTCTTTCTATCAAAGTCACATCAACACCAAACTCTGCAAGCACAAGAGCAGCAAACAAACCAGATGGACCACTTCCCACAACTGCAATTTTTGCCTTTTTAGTAGATGGAAGCTTGTAAGAACTTAATGAATTAGTATGACCATTTTCTTCTTTCACTCTATCTTGGTTGAGTTTCTTGTTATCTTGTATTATGTTAATTAAATCACCAATGACTTTCTCATGAGGCGTATGCTCGATGACCCCAATTTTGGGTTCTAAGCGTGAAATAAAGTCCCATGTTCGGGGTTCAAGATTCAGGAGCTTATCGACGTCCATTTCCACTGTGTACACAAATTTCGGCTCCTTCTGACTCTGAAAATTGAATTTTTTTTCGAAATGAGCTTAATTTGGACATTTTTTGTTGGTTAATAAGTGAAAGTTATAAAGAAAAAGCAAAAAGATGACCTTTCTAGCGTCAAAGGATTTCCTTAAAACTGTAAAAGCTTCTCGGGGTAACATTGAAGCAACCTGGACAAAAAAAATATTGGAAGCTTTGCTCAATCAAACCAGAATCGCATACATAGAAAAATGAAAGATTTTTTGAACCATTGTACTTTGGTTTTTGTTGCAAACAGGGTGTGGATCTTGTTAATATATGGAAAGAAAGCAATATCTGTTCCGAAAATGAGCAAATTGTGGAGAAGAGTTGCATAGTACAATGGTTTTTTTTTTTGGCATTTGCATTTCAATAATTCGTCCAGAGTAGTATTTTTTGCATTTTGGCATATCTGAAATGAAGGTCGAGTACGAAGGAAGAAAATTTAACTTCAAAATGGATAGTCGTTGATCAAATGTAAGAAAATTAACCCAATTACCGGAAATTCAAGAACTTTGGCGACCTCCTCAAGCAAAGCATCAGAAACATCAAGAAAATCTTTACCAGCGTCTCTATCAATGGGAACACCGAGTTTGAAAAGCCTCCAAAACCCTTTGAACTTATCGATATCGGTTTGAATTTGTTGGATTGATTTTAGCTTCTTTTTTTCTGATGGGTACCTCGACTTACCTGTTCGTTTGGACCCTTTTCTGGCACATCGAATTAGGGGTTTGTGAGGATAAAGGAAGCGAATTTTGGGTGAAAATGGGAGCTGGTAATTAGGATATGTTGTGAAAGAAAAACTTTGAGGGCAGAGTAGCTTGGGGGAAGCAGAGAACATCGCTGGATTGGAGAGACGATGGGGAGAAAGTGAGGGGATAAGGAGGGGTTTAAGACGGGGGTTTTGTTGTTCGTTACGTTGTAATTACAAACGAACCCCTATATTTATCCTAGTTTACATTTCAGTCCTTTTAACTTTTTGTGAAATTGAAACATCTCTTTGTCGCAAGTAATGCAACACCACTACCCAGATCCCATAAGAATGAAATAAGGAAAGTAAGATGTATGGCCTCTTCTTCCATTGATGGCCTCAACCATAATCAAAATAAAAAACATGAGTTCAGAGGCACTTACCTATAATAATGTTTTCCCCAAAGTAAACGATATTGTGTGACTAAATAGAAAAGCATAATCAAAATAAAAAACATGAGTTCATATTAGCACCTACATATCAAAGTGAACATTAAACGATGTTGTGTAACTAAATTGAAAAGCATATACAAGCAATAGAATTGGAGTAAAATCGAGCAAGGTTAACAATGTTAATATTGTATGAATACACTAATGTGACTGGGTCCTTCGGTTGCAGTGGCTCTGATCACTATGCGGTGATTTTGATTGCTCCGGGAAGACCTACGAGGTCACAACAAGGGAAATCCTTGTTATGTCAGAGCTAACGATTGGTTCATGTAGTAATGCTCTGAGTATACTACTTGTCTCTTGGAGTCGTTGGGTTTGTCGCGGAGTGGAAGGCGCCCGCTGAGGGTTGGGCCTTCCACACGGGCTTCCGGCTCTAAAGGGACGCTCGCGGGCACGAGACTTCATCGGGGCGGCTACGTTAGGAGTAGTTTGGTCTAGTGGCCTGCCTTAAGGCACCTTTAGTGCGGCTAAGCATAAATCCTAGCCCATGCTAGGGGCATGTTATCAAGTCCCCCAGTCCAGTAGTTATAGCGTTTTCTAGGCTAGGTATGATGTTCAGTACTTAGCTTCCTATACACGCATCAAGCTGGGGTTCGAGCGACACTTCGATTTTTCCTACGCCGTTGATTTAAAAGAGTTGCAGAATTTGTTCTCAAAAACAAAATATGATAAAAATAGTATTTACCAAAGCATTTCATAAAGAAATGTATCTTCATTATATAATCAAAACTCGGGATGTCATGTTCCGATACAGACACAAAAGCATAAACAACAAAAGATAGACCATACAACAGTTACATTAACAACGGGTCTAATAAACAAAATAACTTGATGATTCATCCATCTTATGCCATCGCACCACTACCTGTAATACAAATAAACTGAGTGGGTCAGGCTTGGGAGCCTGGTGAGCATATAGGGTTTTCAACCCGCGATAAATAATTATATTTAATTTCACCAACCAACAATAACCCGATTACCCATTTCCGTTATCCTCACTTTATGTCCCTAAAACAACATCTATCTCAAGGGACCTAATCTAGGATTTTTCATCAGGACGGACATAACTGCAAGGATTTTCCTCAACAATAGATGTCCTAAAGGCAACCATGAGGGGGATAAAGTACATCGGTGAACACATCGTTCACAACACCTACAGGTTATTAGCCTGCTAGCGTTCCACAGGACTGTCTAGAATTATCCATACTCCGCTGAATAACTAGATCAACAACAACAACATCGAGGCCTCTCATCTATTTATCACACATCAACTATCTACTCATGTTCTACCCAACATATTAGTAGAATATATATATATATATATATATATATATATATATATATATATATTTATACACAGTTTAGAACTTGTATAGCATTCTCATTCAATACATATTCGAAACAACAGATGAGACACATACACATAACACGTATTTCATAGAGAATAAATCATATCTATGAGATAGAAGAAAGTGAATATACATTCACACATATAACAACAAAATATACACATAACACGTATTTCATATAAAATACTTCATAATTATGTGTTAGAAGAAAGTAACTACACACTCACTTGATCAGAAGAGGATCGGACAACACCACAGCTCTAAGAGTAGTATTCTTCGGTGAAACTGGAAGATCTTCACACACCGGACTTCTCGCAAGCAGAGCTTCGGCTTGGAAACTCTTTTCTTCTCGGGATCTTCGGTGCTTCGAGACTCGCTTCAGGTCTCGGGATGATATCGGGGCTTCGAGGGTTAAAATAGGGCTTAGATAGAGTATCGGGAGTGGGAGAGTAAGAGATGAGCAACCAAACTCGGCTGCCCCTTGAATTCTATTTATAAGGCAAAAATGCTAAGTTCACCTCGTGAGCTACATATGCTCACCTCGTGAGCTAGATACATCATTGTGTTCGTCATGGCCACTTGCCCTGGAAGACGTCCATCATCTGTTCACCTCGTGAGCCACTAATGCTCACCACGTGAGCTCTGACACAGCCTTGGGGTTCACGCCCTGAACTTCAGAAATTATGCTAGGTGAGATTATGCTACACAACTCTCGTTTAGACTCCGTTAGCTAATTTTTACTTTATTTTTATTATATTATTTTTAGTAGGCCGGGATAGGAAAACTCCATTATTGTAACACCGTAAATTTCCAAAACAATTTTTTGCATTTATAAAGCATAATTCACTGGTAATTCATAAAAACATCATTGTTTGAAACTCAATTTATAACATATAAAAATATCCCAAGATCTCGTATCATAAAAATCTCGTGTGTGTACTGATCAAGCCGGCGCCTTTCTGCGATCCTCACTAGTACCTGAAACACATAACACAAAACACTGTAAGCACAAAGCTTAGTGAGTTCCCCAAAATACCACATATAACACATATTAGCCACTCGAGGCTATAACTCTGTGGGTCCGTGCACCCAAACTCTGTGAACCCTCAGGTTCTAACTCTGCAAGCATGCACAGCATAAATCACATAGAAGAATGCAGTACAACAAACAATATATATAGAGCATTGTATCACATAACTCTATTTACCTACTCAAGGTAAAGTATAGTGAGAAGACTCACCTCGTGTATCTCGGTAACTCGTAAATCCCTGAAATCACTAATGCTCGATCTCCCGAGCTATAGTCCTCCTATAACACAATACATCTCTAATTAACACTTTTCTAATTAAGGTTGACTAACCCTATCAAGTCAACACTGGTCAATGGTCAACAGTCAACCCAACTCGCCGAGTCTGGCGTGGACTCGCCGAGTCCCTATGAGGACCCAATTCCTCTGAGTCCCTTCCGACTCACCGAGTCACTCACCCAACTCGGTTACTCAACCCCTGGTTCGAAATCTATGAACAACCCGCACCAACTCATCGAGTCTGCCAATGGACTCGGCGAGTGCATTCCATGCACAACCCCAAACGACCTTCTGAGGTTAGATCTGTTCCAATAACTCATAGATCTAGTCCTTCCAAGCTTATTTATCACGTAAAGTTCATGTCTTAGCGCTCATATCACACCTAATGACTCATAAATGGTGTTTTGACCTCAAGAACAAAGATCCTAAACCAAAACCTCCATGGATTCATAAAAAGCTTGGACAAAGGGACACTCTGGACCTCCAAGGGTCCAGATCTAGAACCTAACTCGCTTAAGGGACCAAATGAGCACTAGATCTAGCCACAAAAGGGCTCAACAAACCCTAAATCAACATGAACATCACCTCAACAGAAAAGGGTTCAAAAATGATACCTCAAATGTGATGTTATGGACCTCAAATCTTCAGAAGGTTAACCATATTGCTTCCTCTTGGCTAAAGCTTCCTTTCTCTTTCTAGACAACACCTCCAAGGTTGATAATGGCTCCTTCTCTCACTCCAAATGCTCAAGTGCACTAGGGTTTCGCTCTGGGGGATGGTGAGCACAAATGATGGCCATAAGGCCCTTTAAATAGGCCCCAAACCCGAGAAATTAGGGTTTCATTAAACAACGCGGACTCGTCGAGTCCACCAATGCGACTCGTCGAGTCCGATCATTAATTCGGATGAGAAATCGCGTCTCTACTCGGCAAGTCTACGCACCAACTAGCCGAGTTCTTCCTCAAAACTCAAAATAAAAAGAATAAATATAATACCTGAAATTCCAGATGTTACAATTCTCCCCCACTTGAATCTGACTTCGCCCTCGAAGTCTCATCCCTGAAATAGCTCCGGATGTTGCACACGCATTTCACGCTCCGGTTCCCAAGTAAGCTCCGACCCTTTCTGATGTTGCCACTGGACCTGCACCAGAGGCACATCCTTGTTCCTCAGAACCTTGATCTTAGGATCCACAATCGCAACTGGTCTCTCCGTGTAGTTCAGGCTCGCATCCACCTAAATATCCTCTAACGGCACTACCGCCGACTCGTCGGCTATACACTTCCTCAACTGATACACATGGAAAGTATTATGAATCCGCTTCAATTCCGCAGGTAGCTCCAAGCGATACGCTACCTTGCCCACCCTCGCGATTACTCTGAACGGCCCGATATACTGGGGCCCTAGCTTGCCCCTCTTCCTGAATCGAATCACTCCTTTCCAAGGAGATACCTTCATGAGAACATAGTCACCGACCTGGAACTCAAGCTCGGATTGTCGTCTATCCGCATAACTCTTCTGGCGGCTTTGAGCGGTCAACAATGTAACGACCCAATTTTCACATCCAAAAATTTCGTTTTTAAAAACATTACTTTTAGAAAATGTTAATGGATAAAATATTGTTTGACCAAACTACATCACAACATAAACCATGTTCAAAAGACAAGTCATACAACCAATAGAAACATCAGAGTATAAATCCCAAGGACATCTAGTAAATGCGGAAACCAATGTGTGTGCATGATGTGCCGCTACCGAGCCAGCTCCTTCCCCTTCGATGAAGAGGTACCTAAAACCAAAACTGTAAACTGTAAGCACAAAGCTTAGTGAGTTCCCCCATCATACCACATACCATACAACACATAACATACATACTACCAGGCTATTATGGGGTGCCTGACTACCCGGTACGGCCATTATGGAGTGCTGACTACCCGTGTGGCCATTCTGGGGTGCTGTCCTACCCGTGTCAAGCCATTCTGGGGTGCTGACCTACCTATGTCAAGCCATTCTGGG